ATTACAAACGCGCCTGTGAATGGAGCGAATTATGGCTAAAATAGGCACACACAGTAGAACCGCGTAGTATCTCTTGAACCATTTACCCAGCTTTACGCAAACGAGCTACCTATATCCGTATCCCTACCCCAAAGTTTCCGAAAATCTGTACGTTACCCAACCAGGTATCCATTCCACGTGGACACCCCACAGGCGTACCCAACGCGTGAGGTCCTCTGACGTACACGGAGGACTGCGAGCCGGTGGCGCAGATAGTTACATCCTACCAATCACAAGCCGCAATAGTAACACCCTAGGGTAGGGAAATTACCCCAATACACAAAGCGTTTGTTGCGCACACGTTCATCATCTCAGCGCTTTTAAGCTCCGCGCGTAGAATAAAATAGTAAGTAAGCCAGCACAGCAAGCCAAAGCTCGCCACGCAGGTACGACGACACCAAGCGTATTCACATCCATGACAGCGCATCAAGAGCTGGGCCACGGCAAAAGCAGCAGCATCTCAGCGCCGCGCTGGAACAAATACGGAATACCTTGTCAGACCTACTTGATCGGCTCATCAGGTGCGCCCGAACCTGTTACTATTGTAGGTGCGAGTAAAGGGTCAGTGCATATTGGCATCATATGCAATTTAGGCATTTACACTGATGATGATGCATATAACAATTTTACATCGCAATTGTCCGTAGCATTTAGTTTACATAAGTTCGTCAGGATAAAGAGCATGGGATGTTAAGTCCGTGACATGGAAAGTGCGTGATGTAAAACTTTGTAATGGTGAAGGTAACTGGTCAGTGGTTTGTAAGGTAACGTGTTTGCCCGGGAAAAGAGCGGAAAAGGTATGGAAAAGCGAGAAAAGTGTGTACGTATGGAAAAGTGTCTTACGCATTTGTCTGCGCACAAATGTTCGCATTCAACTGTTCGAAGTTCGTATGCAGATGCGTGATGTGTGTTTGAATGCAGGTCCCAATCCCTGTGGTCTGGATCGGATGCATTATCACTGCGGAAGTTGAAAATTCACAAGTTACAGATATCTGACTGGCACAAATTGCAAGCTTAAGAGGCCTCAAGTCTCAGGGTGGGACGGGGGCCGAAGCCCAGCGAGATCATCACAAGGAAGTCGAAAAAGCCTGCTACGGCGCTAAAAATGCAGGCCTGGGGGGTGTAATCTAGCCCACCCCCACGGGCGCTCCCGCCTCTGGCGGCGCCCCTGGTTAACACCACAGCTTTGTACTTTTTAGGCCCTGTTTTCGCGACCTGGTTTTAGATGTTGTTTGCGAATTCAAGGAGCGTCTCAGCCTCCGTAGCGTGCTGTCATGCTGGTTGGGATCCGTTTAAGACATAACTACAAAGCTTCGTGAATGCTTATGTTCCCTACTTTGTTCTCCGTATATTGTGAAATAATAATTATTCTCCAGTAAATTCACGTGTGCATCCATAGGGGATGGTGGGGGAGGGGATCAAGGGACATGCTTGGTGACTAAGTGTTTGGCGGGGGGGGGGGGGAACTTTCACCTGAGCTGTGCATTTGAACCAGCTTATGAGAAGATCCACTGTTCAGAGTTTTCTGAGATATCACAAGTTTGATCAGCCCTTGAACGAATTCGGGTTCAAATAAATCACAAAAAATTGAACTAAAGAACTAGTTATTCCATACAGTTCAACGGAAGACCTTCCGCTATAGTAATGACCATGTTCTGCAATCATAAGGAGCAGGCCTGTCAATGTTATTGGCCTCTTCATAACCCTCGAATTTACTGGTGAGACAGAGACAACTTCCGCGGTGGCTGGAATCGAAACACCGACCTTTCAATCGCGACCTAGATAGCACGTCATGACAAGCAAGTTTCAAGTAGTGTAGCTTAACTTGCATCATTAGATGTTATCGTTTGACGTGTCTCATACCATGTATCCTGCTAGCACCATATGCTGCACGCGATTTGACCTTTACTTACCACCTCACCCCTCTCCCTGATGGGACCAAAGGATAAACAACTGCGCTCATGCCCAAAATATAAGCTGACAAGCTGATATTGATAGTGGTTGGATACCAATGTACGGACGAACACCTGCACTCGTATGTGTCTCGCCGTATAACATATGAACATATGCCATTCGTACTCGCTTGAAATATGACACTCGTATATCTGTTGCCGTATGACATTTTGCAGCACATGCACTCGTATGCCTCGTGTTTTGCAAAAACCTTTCAAAAATATTGGCAACGCGAATGCTACTCCTTGACCTTTGCAAAATGGCGAAAAAGTCACTTCTCGATTTGAAGAGTATTTGGTGACAAATTGAATGGTCGTTGGTCGTTGAATTCGTCGTTGACGGACCCAGCCATGTAACAAAATAATACTTCCAAAATTATTATGTGCTCTAAGAGGTGGTGAATTCGGAGTCCGTTTGCATCCGACCCAAACTTGCCCCCGACGTAAGCGGAATATACCTGAAAATCGCTCAGCCGAGATGTTCGCCTTAAAGTATCCCGCGTACACCAAATTTCACCGAAGTCTTGGAGCACTCCTCATAGGAGTACAGCCTATGCACACGCATTGCTATAAGGTCAGTACGTGGAAGCTTTTGGTACGTACCTTGGTCCAACAACTTTATCCGTTACAAACATTCATGCTCGTATCATTGTGAAGGGTGGTGTGCGTAAAATTGCTGCGCGAATGAAGAATGGCGCGCGTACAATTTTCACAAAGAATTGCGTACGTACAGTTGCTTACGAAGAATTGCGTACGTGCAACTGTTTACGAAGAGATGCGTACAATTGCATAGGAACAATTGTGCACGTACTTAATGCACTGGAACGTTTTCTATGCGAACTTTTGCCCTGACGAACTGTTGTCGATACGAATATTTCACATGCGTACTTATGCAAACGTACTTCCTGCACACGTATTTCTTCATACAATCTTTGTCAGTCGCTGTATGTCATGGAAGGACTTTCGTGCGCTTGTGACACATTAAAATCAAATATGAAAGAATAAAACGTTCAGCACAAGTTTGGGTCGCGCCTTCTCCCATTGCCAAATCCTGCATACACCCTGCTGTTGTAACAAGATACATAGGCGAACTTCGCCAATTCTGTATTTTTTGTTTTGGTTACGCTAAAACCTCGATAACAGAGCACCATTTAAGAGCCGAGTGTGAATGTAACTCCTGCAGGTGAAGTCAAAATATGTGAGGCAGCTAAAATCCAACGAATCTATTGTAGCCCCAGAGCCCGAACAGCGAAACCAGGATTTCCCTATCGGAGGGGTGAGCAGAAAAGTCGACTAAACACGAGCTGGCACGGATGAAAACACGTCTTAAATGTTACTGGGGTTAAAACAAAACTAATTTAATCTGCTGGAAATGTATTAGGGCCCAGACGCAGCAAACCAGTGGTGGTTACGCCAGTGTGACAAACTCTTGCTTCTTTTGCTGGAGACAACCAGGGATCCCTGGGACCCGTCTGGTCACGGTAGTGCGTTGAACCACACAATGTCTTTAGGCCTCTGTGTTTTTAATCGTTAGCCACGCCTGGGGTGTTGGACCGCCCCCCCCCCCCCCCCCCCACCTCCCCCTCCCGCTTCCTCAGCTCCATTCACAGTGCACTGATTTTGTAAAAGCATCTGTTCAATAATGATGTCGGTCATAAAATGCTGTTCATGACATACGATGCCATTTGAAGCCATCGCAAGATGTGCTTCCTTGACACGGTCACCCCATTCCAGCTTAGCAGCAAAATCCCGTGCGTGCTCGAAACCAAACTTGCAGGCGCGACTGTCAAGGTCAGCGCTTTTGTGGGCAAAGACAGCGGTAGCATCGCTGCGGATCAATAATTAACGCCACCGAGAAAGCAGTGCCTAACGTTTGGGTGATGCAATAGCGAACACTTATTGATTGCTCACTGATAATTCTGAGATGTGTGCGTATCGATTGCAACGCACTGTGCCGGCGCATTAGATGCATGTAAAAGGAAACTGCCCGTGCAAGATCAGACGGGTTACAAAACAGCGCTGGGCCCATCGATTTCCTATGTTGGCCATGGGGGTGCCTCCTCCCCCGGCGCTGAACAGCCAGCGCCGCCACGCGAAGAGTCGGATCGCCATCAGGGCCCGCGACCGAATACATTTAGCTCCCGATCACCTAGCTCAGTGCGACGACACAACTGTCTTCAGTACTTCACTGTCCCAGTCTTGACCTCGGCATTTGAATGCAACACTCCGATCAAAGTTTGCACACATTCCAGGCTACCCCCAACCGTCCTCGAATTGCGTCAAGCGTGGTCTGCAAATTACGTCATGCATTGTGAGTCGTACATCAACCACCCCCTAGTGGCGCACTAATTGGGTAGGCCGGCCGACCCCTTAAGCATAAGTGTTGAGAGTCGCGACCCATGAAGTCCCAAGAGTAGTAACGTCCACTTAGCCCCGAATTCAGCTAGTCGGTCCAAAGACAGACGTGTCACTTGCCGCGAAAGGAAGCCAACGGTGTCCAGCTTCGCAATTTTAAAAGAATTAAACATTACTTGCGACTGCATTCGAACTTAGCACTACGTTGCTCAACCGTTGCAACCCAATGTAAACCGTTGATGAGCGTAATTATAGTACCCCCATCCCATCCCCTTACAATCCCTTATTCCCGTTCGCGCGTAAAAGGCGTTCTGGTTGGCTGCTTTGTCTTCGGAGCAGCGCCCAATTAACCTAATGCGTCAGTATTGTCCCGTTCGTGCACCAAACACGACAGTCAGGGAGAGACCGCAATCATTTCATTTTGAAGGCAAGTTCACACGTTTTGATGCTATTTTGCCGTCTTCCAATTATTGTTGGTGCTATGTGTTCTGAAGTAGTCACATTATATGAGCCCTTTCATTCCGAAAGACCCGTTCATGCTCAAATTATCGTCTTCCTCGTCCAGAATCCACCGTACCCCTTGTTACAACTCCGTTGCGTCCCAGTAAAACCCCCGCCCCCTCCATGTGTATAAGGGGCCGTCCACGAATCGCGTTATGCGTTGAGTATTTATTAGATGGCTCATAACTTAGGAGTGACAGGGAAGATCTTCGGCGTGGTGGCGATCCAGTGTGGACTGCAAATGTTCATAATCTATTTACAATGCGGCCTGCGCGTCCAAGGTTCAATCACGACCCTCCGGAGCTTACCTTGGCTGAAATTCGTTTTCAACAAAGGTCACGCCGAACCATACAGCGCGCGAGGACAACTGGAGCCTCACACACACGGCAGGAGAACAGGATCCAATCACAGATACGTCCGGCGAGATCGCGGCAGAACGGCAGGCATGTTCACAGCGCTAACATTTACAGACACAGCAAAGCGTATCGCGCAATTGGCTCACTCGGTCCATACGTGCAGCAGTTTGAGCTCAGCGCCCGTGCTCACCAACGGGCCTTCTCCTCAGCATTTTCCGGGCCCGAGCTTTAATGCTTCTTGTCCCCGTCGTCCTTGTCGACATTGTAGGTGATCCGCAGCGGGACCGGGTCCTCCTCTTTCTTTTCTTCATTACGCGCTGGGCCCTCAATCGTGATGGGTATGTTCCTCACCCCGTTAGCCAACGGCTTCTGCGCGAGAGGAGCTTCCAGCTTTAGATGACCCGAGCTGGTTAGCTGCGAGGTCAGTTGATCCACCCTCGCATCCTCTGGCGCCGTGATCTGGCGCACCGTACTGCTGAACGAGTAGCTGTTCTTCGACTTCTCTTCGTGCTCAGCCCGGACAGTGATGACATTGTCACTGACCTTGACAACAACCTCGTCAGGCTCGTAGTGGCCCAGGTGCATGGACACCTGGAACTTCTCCGGCTTTTCCTGGTCTTGCACCTGCTTCTCATGCACATCAGCAAGTAGTGGAAGCCCCATCCACGGCCCAAGCCAATACGCCATGTCGCCCACAGAATGTCACTGTACAACCTTCGCTTACGCGACCAACGGCCGGAGCCGCCCACCACGGAATGGACCTTCCGACCAAACTGTCGTTTAAGTATACCTGTGCTTGGCCTGCGAGAAATTTCCCGTCGAGCCGTGAGTTGATCTATTTCTCGGTGGTACTCGGTTGTACTCGCGAACGGCGCGCCACCACAGCTGACTTACCATTGGATCCTTGTGGATGACGTCAGCAAAATCTCAGTGTTCATTGGGTAAAGTATGACGTCTCGCCTATTCAGAGCGCCCTGAGGAAACAGGAGGCTTAGTGAATCGGGAAGACTCTGGTAAGCGTCGGAGCTTTTGCGTCGGTCACATCGAAGGCACAGCCAGCGCTACGAAATGCGAGGGCTGCTTACTGCTTTTACTGCTTGGCGGCTTGCCCTGGATTAGCCGAGAAGTTTCGAAGCGATGGCGGCCTCACAAGGTGACTTCACAAGCAGAGGCGAAAATTATCGACTTCGCCTGTTATATTGAAATCGATGCTCAAGGGGTTTACAGTACCACTAAATTTCTGAACCATTGTGATGCTTAACTGCGAGATTGATGTTTGGTACAGGACGCGATTGTCAATGCAACAAATAACAAGCACAAAGGTAGCGCGCAGAAGAAAGGACGGCGATGCTGTTCAACTACAAACAGGATCTCTACTGAGATAAAAAAAACGCGTTACGGATATCATGATTGAAAAAAATTCATTGGCACGTACGTGCCACGCAAGTGCCTTGCCATCACTTTGCGGTTTGAGAGTGCATCAGTTTTTATTGTGAACCGTCGTCCTGAAATGTGCCCTGTAGGAATACAACAGGTGGTCAATGCCTGCTGTAAATTCGATCGACCTCCCCTTCGACCATTCCTGCATGTAGGTCACGTGGGTTCTGGCCTCAGGCTACACGAGCTGGTCGGTGCCGCTGTCGCCTCGTGTGGGCACAGCGCAGCCAGACAGCTTATGGCGCGCCACCGGTAAACACTGACGCTGATCGAAGGGGATGCACCCGTCTCCTCTCCCGAGACATCTGTAGGAGGGCTGTAGAATGCTTCGTGGCATCCTCCCGCTGTTGTTTGTATCTTGTCTCGCGTCTTTCTGAAAGATACTCTGAAATTGTGGGGTCCGGTTTATGTCAACTGAATGATCTAGACCAGTGTTAGCTAGATCCTAACGAAAACGTATTTGAGTATGATATTCAGTAAATCTCCAAATACTGACTGGCTGGAGGTGTCACGTCCTCTAGCACGTAGCCCGAAGGCTCGTACAGCGTGAGTAAAACAGCTCAAAAATTCAAAAGCCAAAAAAAGACCTCTAGTTCGCAACAGCTGACATCAGCAGAATCCGCTGCGGATTCCGCGGTCCTCACGGGTTGCGGACCAGAGAGAACCGTCTTTTTTCTCTACCCACAGTTTGCATGTCTACGGGGTTAAAAGAGTTGGCACTTCCAGTTCGCAGTTGCTGACTACAGACTATGCAGCAGATATCCAGGCAACCCGCAAGGCATGAACAGACCGACAGTTGTCAGACATGGGCTGGTGGCTCTACATCATATATTGAACTGCCCAGCAAATCGCAATATTTGTTTTGCTGATTTCTGTTGTGTATACATGTACACGTAATGGAACAAAATTACGTAAGTTGTTAGGGGCATTTGCGAGAAACATTATGCGTATATAGTTAAGACAGTTCTGTGTAATGAGACGCCAAGTATTTCACCAAAACTTCTCTGTATTTTAGTCAAGAATACAATCGCACGGGCCTTCGCTCTCTTCAGCTCCGACGCGGCAACACTTGCTCGTCACCGTCGCCTGTCACACCGGCACCATCATCAGCAGCCGCACCAGCACTATCACCAGCATCAGTAGCATCCCAAAAGTGATCAGCATCAGCAACCTCTCCGGCCACAGGCATCCTCACGAACAGCTGTCATTGTCATCCGCGCCTCCGTCACCGGCTTCGCCTGTCTCGGCAGCACTATCGCCCCTACGACGCAAATTTCGTACATGCCACGGTACGCCGTCAATTTCCACCACTTGGTCTGAGATAGTGCCTGACACCACTCCTGGCTGTGACGTCTCCGTACATCGCGTCCCCCGACGACGAACCCAGACAGTATCTCTAGCAGCATACCGATCGGTGTCACATGGTTCTCGCGGCTCGATAGTCACCGGCTGATCAGCAGCGGGCCGCACACAATCCCGCACAGGGTACACATAGACAGCGGCCGCCGGCGCACTGGCCGCAGTCTCAACGTCACGCGGCGTCACGTTCGACAGGTGCACCGCCTCGGCGACAGAGCACTGCTTCCTGGCGGCAATGACCTTGACAGTGCGATGATTTTGCTCAACAGTGCCATCATCGCCGGGCTCATGCACGGCTCGGAACCGCAGGCGAATACTCCATCGTGCCGCGAATGCCTGAAACTGCCTGCTTCGACGGACGGTGTCATTGTCGCATAACAATTCCACAGGTGCACCTCTCTCCAGGAAAATCTGTCCCAGCAGGTCAACAGCACAGCTAGCACCTGGACGGCGAAGCAGCCGCCACATACTGAACCGAGATGGTCCACAGTCCACTACTGAGAGGTAGCACTGCCCCCGAAAGTGAGTCACGTCGATCGCCAGCCGTGACCACACATCCTGCACGTCCAGCGATCCGTGTGACTAAGTCACCGGCGCTGGGTCGATAGAGCGACAGGTGTCGCAGCGATTCACCACACTCCTCACCTGTGACCGGGTCACTGTCGGCGAAACGTCGCGCCGAGCATAAAACTGCGTCCGTCGGATCCCTGGATGACCGGCACGAGCGTGGATGTCAGCGATCGCCATCTCAAGGTCGGCGCGGCCGTCTGTCCCCCGATCGGTGGAACCGTCCATGGGTCCTATGTCGACTCTGTGACCATCGGTCGTCACCCGATCTGCTACGACCGCACAGCCTCCGACCGGCGTCGCACGCTCAAAGGTTGAATCGTCACGCAACCAGTCTCTCGGCACACGGCTCAGCACGTCGGCACGATTCTCAGCACTACGCACCAGCGAGACAAACAGAGTTATGTCCAGCTCACTTCCAAGCTGCTGAATGACACCGACCCGGCGCCGAATCAGCATCTCTCCATGAGCTTTGGTGCGCAGACGGGCCCGGCCACTCAGGGCGTCATCTATCCAGCGGTGCACAGTGACCGAGTCTGGAGATCGACGACACGCATGTGCCACGCAATGGCCAGATTAATTCCTCGCTCTGCCGCGTCTAGTTCTGCCATGTTGATGTGCGTGCAGTCGTCCCTCCGCAGCCAGCACCCGTCCTCAATGGCATCACCCTCGGGCGTGGTCAGCACAACTCCTGCTGCCACTGAGCTGACATCTGTCCAAACCACGGCATGGTCACCTCGCACGCTCCAGGTGCCGCGTGCCGGGTCACCCTGGGTCAGCCGGGTCGCGACATGGCTGAGTTGTTCTCGCAGTGTCTCATCAGCTGTTCTGTCGTCCCAGCCACGCGTGACGGCGTTCGCACGACGCTTCAGCCACGCTGTGGCGGGACGGAGCCAGCCGCAGACTGGCAGGTGTGCTACCAGCCACGCTGTGGCGGGGCGGAGCCAGCCGCAGACTGGCAGGTGTGCTACCAGCCACGCTGTGGCGGGGCGGAGCCAGCCGCAGACTGGCAGGTGTGCTACCAGCCACGCTGTGGCGGGGCGGAGCCAGCCGCAGACCGGCAGGTGTGCCACCCAGCTGGCCGCACCAGGAGAACACTGCACGGCGCGTCAGTACTATCGGCGGCGGGCCGACCGGGTTGTCGCGCCTCCACAGGCATTCTCCCCTGCTCCCGTGAGACATGCAGGCCCAGCAGACGAGCCCCAGCCGCTGCTCGCTCAGGCGGCTTACTCTGCAGCCCGTAATTTGCCAGGCGGGCCACGACGTCATCGGCGCTCATGATGTCTTCGTTCACCAGGATGACGTCCACGTAGGCCAGAGCGGCCCGCTCCACGTCTGGGTTTTGTTCAAGAACTGTCCGGACCACTGCCCTTATCACCAGAGGGGCCACGTTCGGCCCAAAGCCAAGCCGTGTCAGACAGTATCGATGGCCGGGAATCTGCACAGTTTGGAAGGCCCACAGATGCTGGTCCACATGCACCTGCAGGTATGCATCGTGCAGATCCACAACCGCGATATTCTCTCCGTGCCGACGCCACCTCCATTCCAACTGTTTCTGAATAGCCCTCCAGAGTCTTGTAACTTTTCATTAGATGTTGAGAAACGATCCTGTGTGATCCGCGATCTTTTAACTAATTTTCCAACAGGTCATTTGCAATCTGGAATTTGTTGAGCGGGTTCTCACGGGCGGCTTCGAAGCGAGGTGCCTTATCGCGGGACCGTCACTGGCTCCGACCGTCACTGGTCGGAGCCAGTGACGGTCAGTTTATTTGATCCGTACTTTCATGTCATGTCTCAGACACCAATTCTGAGACTGGCAAATGTTTTAAGTACGCACGGCGTGTCTTCGATGATCGGATAACCACCATCCACCAAGAGAGTCAGTTTGAAACAGCGCCTTGGTCAGCAGGGAGTGCAGTGCAGGGAAGAAGTAAGTGTTCAGTGAAACAGACGGTCATTGCGCGGGCTTATTCTGCACAAATTACCCAATGAACAGGCTTTGCTCCGATGGAGTGGCGGCTTTCGCAACAAGTTTTTCTTATCAAAGCTGTTCTTGTAAACCGCTCAGTAAAACGTATTTAGAACAGACAAATGCGAAGATAAAACACATACGTCGCTGCACGTAGTAATGATATTTTCTCCCTCCAAATGAACCTGTGCCGCCAGACAGCCTATGATCCTCTCTCTTGACACTACATAAGCCACAGCGCTTTTCTCAGTACGAGCAAACTACAAGCCACTTCAGACAAAACCCACCGGGACATAGACACGTCAGATATTTCGTGACATAACGATTGCTCGAAAGGCATACTCCCGATTCCGCCACTGCAAGCACTTCAGCGAGCTAGGCTAGCATGCACAAATGCTGACCAGCTAGGCATCATCCCTGGCTCAGTCACAACAACCGCTGCATAGTACAGACTCAGCCAGGGGCGCCGCCAGGAGGGGGGACGGGCTGCCCTTTGGGCCACATCTTTTCACCAAAGACCCCGACAAAACGTCGTAAACCGGTGTGACGCGTTCTTACTTAGCTACCCTACCCCTAAAGAGGCGTGGCAACAGCACCGAGCACATGACCTCACTTCTCACACTGCACCGCAATATGGACCGCCTGCGCTTCCACAGCCGTGTCTGCAGGCTCCGTCCGCTTTGTAGGCTCGAAAGACGGTTGCTTGACCTCCTGCTCGGCCTCTAAAGTCTCTTCCCCGGTCTCTGGAGCCCCCACCCTGACCTCTGGAGCTCCCGTCTTGGTCTCTGGAGGCCCCACCTTGATCTCTGGAGCCCCCGTCTGGTTCAGCGCCGGGGCCGTGATCGCGGCGACAGGGGCCCCGATCACCACCTGGCCGGCACGGGTCAGGAGCGAGGTCGCGCGGTCGGGGTCGACGCGGTGCGGCAGGACGAACTGCCGCATCAGTCGGTAGGTGGGGCCGCCGTCGCCCGAGGTCTCGTCACGTGCCGCCTGCGCCATCACCACGCCGCTTTCCAGCTTGACGCTCATCTCCGGCTGAAAGTTGCTGACATTCATCGAGACGCGGTACATTTCCTCCTTCTGGACAACATCGGCGGCGCAGTTCTCTGTCGCGTTGGTGCTGGGACCTTCCACGACGGCCTCCCCCTGCGCGGTGGGAGTTGCCTCCCCTGAGATCTCCGACTGCCGGTCCGCTGCCGGAGCGCTGCCCTCAGCAACAGCTGACCCAGCGTCCGGCTCTGACGTCACAGCCTTCTGCTTCTCGCCAGCTGAGCCCACGGCTGGGGTGGGGACGGCAGGCGACGTCTCAAACACCCGCTGGCCGGCACAGGTCAGCCGGGAGGTCACCCCGCCGGCGTCCACGTGCTCCGGCAGGTGCACGCGCCGTACCAGACTGCTGATGATGACGCCGCCGCCAGACTGCTCCCGGCGGTGAGCGCGCACCGTAACCACGCCATTAGCCAGCTGGACGCTCAGGCCCTGCGGCCGAAAGCCGGCGGCGTTCAGCGCCAGCGGGAATCCCTTCGTCCTGTCCGCGTGCTCTGCCTCGTTCTCCAGCTTGGTCTGGCTCGCAGTCTTGCAGGACGAAGCACGTGACCGGCCGCCAGGCGAGCCCGCCCACCTCGGCGCAGTTGGCCCACAGGCTCCAGAGGTGCAGCGGGCGGCACGCACCGCTCTTGCGACGAGGCGCCCAACGGCTACACCGTGGCTCGGAGGAAAGCAACGCATCGATCTTGGCCGGAACTTCCCGTTGGTTTCGACGCTCACCAGTCAAGCACTCCGTGACCCCGACCGTCGCAAACCCCACGTTTGAATGTTGACCTGCGTTACAGCTTGTGGTATAAATACGTCTGTGATGAAGTCTGGTGATTTTCAGAACTTTATCGTGTTGGATTATCATGGTTTCTCTAGATCACTTCAAAATGTCCCACGCCACACTTTGATTAATCAGCACTCAGGATTATATGACATCAGTGCAATAGCACCAATGAAAACTAGCCCAGCTGGTGGTGGCAGTAAAATATGAGCACGGGTCAACGTGGGCTAGCTTCTCGAAGGTTCCAGCTGCGTTGAGTTCTTTCGACAGGTTTGATAATAGTCAGGCGTATCACAACGCGACAGAAGAAAACGACAAAGTCGTGTAAGAAAGGTAAAACTGTTAACCGGGCCAGAAGGACACTTACGTAATGCTGCGGGGCGATCACAATATCGAAGTAATCGAACAGATCATGAAAGACCGTTTTCAGAAGGTGCACATGACCAACCCTGCGATCACGTGGAAGCTTATGGCGAATACGACGATGTGCTTTGCAAGCCTTTACAGTACGCCATTAAATTACAATGGCAGAAAAAGCGAGGACATACACACGAGACTCATATGCAATAGATTTACAGGGGCATCGGGCTGTCTTCGTGCCCATGACGAACGAACTGCTAGAGGCAGATGCATTTGACTATGGAGCCGATTACGTAGAAGTTGACGAGGGCGATGCATATGCCAACCTTAAGCGGCTCCACTAGAGAGGACGCCGGCGCTGAACGCGAAGCGAGACTTCCGGATCCCTGTGCAGGGGCGCGAGGCCACCGGGGACGCGAACAGAAGGCAGGCGAGCAGAACTGAAGCGAGCGTGGATAGCGGAAGGGCTGGATGGATGGCGGAAATGAGAAGGTGGACGGCGGTGCGCAGTTTGCGCTTTGTTTTGCACTATCGACAGCGAGAGCCACCGAAGTCGTTTTTTGACGTTTGTGACGGTCTTGAATAGTGCGTGCTTTGCCAGGAAGAGCAAGTTTGTTTGGTGCAGTCACTAGGACGCGTTATCCGCATCTTGTGCTAGTATTTTAGTAATGTTGCGTTTTTAGCTCGGGGCGAGTGAATCTGTGTTTGTGCCTAACTTGTTATGGCTGCGACTGTCAAATGCACGGACGGGTTTTGCTTTTGCGTTCGAGGGTGCGTCTACTCGCTCTTGCGACCTGATGTGTGATAACTCCGCGTTGTATAAAAGCACAAGCTAGCTTACTAATTTGACTAATTTACTACCAAACGGAGTGACTGCCTGCCACAACCCGATGGCTTTGTGATGCAAACATATAATATGACAATCCCCGGGCCTTCTGCAGCGTCGAACCCCTTACCATGTCATCGCATTGGATATAACAGTAAAAGGACCAAATCGTGCCGCGGTTCTTACAACTAAAAGTGCTGTCAGTAATGCTCAACAAGTCGGCTAATCCTCCCTCCGACAGCCATTGAATGATTACAGGCGTGCTTTAACTTGACCTGGATCGAGGTCATGGTAGTCTAGCGTCACAAAGGCTCCTGCTGCTGGGGTCTGTCTGCGGAATTAGTTGGGCTGAACCCCGGCTCAAGGTCACACCGGTTCCGGCAGCAGACAAGGTCGATGATGGAACTTTTGCGGGATCCAGCGGCAGCCCCACCCCAGGTCGAGTCCAGTGGCTCGCAGTATGCCGTGAGGAGAAAACAGGATTGCGCCGTTCGATTTCGATGCAATGCTGGTGAAAACTGTGGTTTTCTGGATGATCGCCAGCTTTCCTGCGCGCGAGGTCAAACTTCGGCGATGATCTAAAAACTCTGGCGAGAGAAACCATTTGATGCCTACCGTACAGGAATTTGAGAAAATGTTCGGCACAAAACGAGCTGCCAAACAGGTGGTACTGTAAGGATAAAACTGATGTACTTTCACTTAGCCACATTGGACAAACATGGCTCCTTAAAAAACTGACAAAATGGGGGCGGAAACCTGCACCACACACACCGAAAAGGAAGACAACATAGTGCTACATCACCTAGATATATTGTAGTACTTTTATCGATGTGGTTGGTGACGACCATCCACTACCTTTGTGGTTTTAGTTTTGATCGTCTTCATCTGGCCCTGGCGCCTGACTATAAGACTTGCCCTGCATGTAAGCTTACGACAGACATTTTCACACGAAGTTGCCAAATGCCGCCTCAACCGGCCGACGTAAAACAAGAGTCAGCGAAGTGCTGAATTGGTCTGAGTTGGATGCCACTGGTAATTAGTTATTTTGAAATAACAGGCTTTGGATTCAGCCAGCGGAGTGGCTAATGACTTTAACAGCCGGTGAACTGCTGCCGCTCAGTGGCATGAGGCACGCTTTTGTTGCACGTGATGACCAGATCACATCAGATCAGATCAAAACCAGACTCAGATCCAGTTGCACCAACCAGATCGTTTTTGATAGACGACATGTGAATACTGATGCGAACTTTGCGCCTTACGACCCCTACGTTCCAAGGTGATTTCCAGTATGCACTGGCTCATTCCCGTTTTTTCTGCGCGACCTTTCAGCAGCTATTTGCCTGATCTTGTGTTTTCTTTCATTCATAGCTTGCTGCCATACACCGACACACCTATGACATGCTTTATACCATCGTTATAAAAAAATGTGCTATGTGAAAGTCTTCAATGCCTCTGACGCTCGGTAAAAAAAGAAGCAAAAAAAAAAACGCCAAGCCCGGAATAGCAGCCTTCCCGGGTCACGAATACCCATACTGCATCCTAACGACAGACATAAACATCAACATGCTGTTGTAAAATGGACACACTTCAGTCGAAAGCGCGCTGTAGCTGAGTAGTAAAATACACCGCCGTGCGCTCATTAAAAAAAAAACACGACTTCTTTTACTTCAAAGTGAGTAGTGGAGTTGCTAAACGTGACCTCAAAATATTTCCTGCTCGACATCTGATCGTTCATTGCGCCTTGTCGAAGGAACGCTGGCGGAGTGTGATAACTCTCACGAGACATCGCTACGCCGCATGATCGTGCCACCTTCACCGTTGGTCCTCTTGACAGCAGCGCCACCTTTACCCTGGCATGACCCGGTCGGGCTGCGGGGTGGTATCCTTACTGACTTGCCGATGCCCTGCGGCGCCGCGACATGCGTCGGAGCGCCATCCAGCGGCAGCAGCCAGCCGCCCTGTAGGTCTTACCAGGAGTGGCACGGTGCTCCTCTCCTCTGGCTCGCCATTGCCTTGTGGTCTCACCAGGAGTGGCACGGTGCTCCTCTCCTCTGGCTCGCCATTGCCGGTCCGCCGTCATGTCGCCCTTTTTGAGGCGGAAGCGCGAGATCAGGAAGTGAAGTTTTCTGTACCAAGACGTGAAGGTAACGTGGAGGTAAATGTGAAGGTAAGCCTCGTGGCGTTGCAAAAGCGCATTCAAGTGTGTTAGAGGAAAAAAGATTGAACCACCAATCTACAAGTATTAGCTGAATACTGCCATGACATCTGTCCCTCTTATCCTCTATCTTTCTTCATCCTGCATCCTCGCGACACACCGCTTGTCCGGGGCAGGCTGCATGCGTCGGCCACGAGTTGGCCGAGAGCCCCGTGGGAAGGAGGACCCCGACCGGGTACTCGGCGCACATGCGCGGGTTAAATTTCGGCGGTTGGCCTCCCAAGTGCATGCAAGTCTGCCCTGCCGTTGACCATTTTTATTCATGCCATTGCCCTGAACTGATCATTTCTGATCGAAAGGGCTTTGATTTGAAGCCGTCGTTCAGCTTCTCTCTCGTGATCCACCCGTTCTGTGTTGATGTTGTTGGCCACCCTGACCACCGCCTCTTCCTGAAAGTAAGTGGCCCAAGCGCAGATTCGCCTCGAACTTGTTCGGCGCCGCCTGCGCACGCAGTGCGATCTCGTGAGCAAAGCAACGCCGCCGACGGCTCACAAATTACAGGGCTCGTACGGGGCTCATCATGGCCGATTATGCGAACGCGATATGTGCCTCGATGTGTGTGCTCGCTTTAAAATATTTTACATGTTAATTGGTTTCTGACGCTGATGCGCGAAGCCTGTTTTAATTGAATCGTTTGCATGCACAATTGATGATATGATGCGCGATATGATGCTGTTTACCTCAACTCGTTTGCATGTTTGAATGAGGCATTATGCGTGATGTCTGTTTACCTTGAATTCGTTTGCATGTACATTATTTTTCGCGTATTCATTTCTTAGTTAGATATACACTGCATCTAATCCCTGAATGTTGGTCAAATGTTGGAATGAAGACACTGCATCTAATCCCTGAATGTTGGTGTCCTGTAAAAGCTGTTCCTCGCAGTTAAAAGAACTTGAAAAATTTAGTAGGATTATTGGCAGGCCATTTTGAACTCACTTCTACTATTCGTTTCGACCAAGGCATGTTGCCAAAATATCAACGCATCTATATCTCCATTGTCCTGCTTTTTGTCCACCAAATAAGTCTGTTACTGCTGTCTCATCTATATAGAAGTGGGCCCCGACACAAATTTAAAAATCGGCGGGGCGCGTTCTCACAGAGGTCCGAACCTCTCACTTAAGAATGTCCTGGATGCTCCCCTGGTTGCGGGGAAATGTACCCAATGCCCTACGCGCTGAAGCTTATTTTCCGGAACGTCCATTTTTAACGGGATGTTCCACACTTGAATATTGAGGTAGGCATCAGATATGATGGGAAAAGCTTACTTGTAACTATTGGTAAGCTTCATGGTTCAAAGAATGATGCTAAGTAACAAAATTCACAAAGTTTGTAAAATGCGCCCCATTACGTCATTGTTTGATGGCGTCATGGAATGGTTCTGTGACGACAGCAATATCTGGCAGCATCTGGCAGCCAAACCTAAATAATACCCCGAAACACACGAAGCTGACGCCAACTAGGCCATTCTCGTCGCGGGGTTCTGTTTCGAGTGGCGGATTAGTGGGTGGTTTGTTTGTGGATTTTTTGTGTTGGTGTTGGCCGCAAGAAAGGCCTTGGTGGACTGTTTGACATACGCAACGTAGCGATCGCCAGCTTTTATGGCAGATCATTAATCTCAAAGCACGATATGCTGTGCTGCTGCTGTTCCCGCTGTGCTGTTGATGATTTTGTCAATACTTTTTTATCAACCCATCGTTGCCTTGCAGTGCTGTAGTCCTGACATTGGTGCCATGCGATGTGCACAGAAGTCACTTTATTTATTGTTTGTACCTGAAAATGCTCTAGTGTCATGCGAAGATTAATCAATTTGTAACGTTGCTATGACTTTATTGCCGAAGCATTGCTATTGCTATGGTAAAGATGGTAAGGTTGGGCTACCACGAATGTGTTTTTTGTTTGCTTAGGATTTATTATGCAATTCATAGTTAACCCTATAAAACGATTGTGGTGCAATCACATTCTTGCTGTTGATAGTCCTTAGTTATCGTTGAATCAGTTGTTACCAGCCATTTACAAATTATAAGCTGCTGTCTCATAGGCTTGACAGAGTAGTCAACCAATGTGGTTCATTGTGTAATGGTTCGGGTCACCAGCTGTGGCACTACCTCAGTGCTGTACTGTGGCATGACATAATGAACAATTACATGGTTTTTGTACTGCAATCCATGCTGTTTCCATAATATATTCCATCAGGAAAAGATGGGTCAAGTGTCCTCTCTTGTACTGACTCCCCATCTGACATATAACTGACCAAAAACACATGATACAATATACAAATCACTTTCAACAAGGCAGACAACCAATAAGTGACATCACTTGCTCAGCCTGTTTTGGGAATACACCAAGCGTAGGTGAGAAATGAGAAATAGAAGATATAAAAAATATCTTCCACTTCCACAGCCATGCAACATGCTGTAGCCTTTAGGCTGCTTTACTAAAATAATAACAAAAAATTAGATGTGGTTAAATGACACTGCAAACATGCTGACCTCGCCCAAGGCTGGAAACATGGCAAGTGCATGTAGTTACGGTTGGATGGGAACAATGCAAGGAAGTGATAAGGCTGCCAGTGCACACAAGGCTCATGATAAAAATATTAGAAATGCTATTCAAGATGTCAACAGAAGTACTTTTCTAGCTTTCTCAGCATCCAGCATCTCACGCAATTTGCAGTGGCTATGACATTGATGACTTACAAGCAATGCTCGCCTGCATACAAAATTCACCAAAACATTACCACGTGCATCAGTAATAACACAGCTCTATATCTTCGGAATTCTTTAAGGAAATAAAATTTTGCAAAACTACATAATGTGAGCCTATACTAGCCTTGGCCTACATTGAGCATGTGCATTAATGAGCTGTGCGCACCAGCCCCTCCCGCCACAGTGAACCGCTGATATAATGGCAGTACCACCTTGCCTTTGTACACCCCTGCAACGTAAGTGCTAGTACTCCTCTAAGTTTGCCAGCGTTCCTCTGCCATGTTCAAACACAAACATAAAAGTAGAGGCAGGTGTCAATATATCACATTTTATTGGAAGTCAGTAGATTCAAAGAATACCAAAACAATGTTCTCTCAGAAGTACAAACCTCGAACGCACACTCCCCATCGCATCAAGATTAATAATACAAGCCGCTGGCACACACCACCACTGACCATACACATTTGAAGCCATCAATTCACACTCTTGTCAAATAAGTAGTGATCTCACTTTTGCACAGCTCGCGGAACTATCAAGCTGCAGGTTTTCCCGCAATTTCCGCATATATTTTCAGTCATAACACTGCATTTCACCGTGACCTCCCTTCAAAACGAAGTCCCAACGGGGTTCATAATAATGCGGCTCAAGAGGTTTCTTCAAGAAGAAAAAGACGCCAGCGGCGGCAAGGGAGACAGATCTGCCGTCGCGTCTTCCTTTTTTATAACTTAGGAGAGTACCCGTTTTTTGGGTGCCGTGTTTTTCAGACAGTGGCTTTCTTTTTTATACCATTGACCTGTGGTCTAGGAATAAGGAAAAATGGCTCGTTCACGAGTGCCGCACAACCCAAAAGTGCTCACGCTTACGTTCGCGACACGCATTCAGCAGCGAAATCTTCCTAGCAGCCAATCATCTTCCGCGCATTGTATCATACGTGCCGCCTCATCGCTTTTGCGAATGTACCAGCGGCCGTGCTGTTTTGACCATAACCAGAAAACAGCCTGTAGTATGAGCGCGATCGCATGACGTTGACGTATGACGTATGACATCATTAATGACGAGGCAATTTGAAGTAGGCTCTAAATAAACCTTTTCGCACTTTTGTGGATGTGTAACTCAGGAACCAGACTGTTTTGGGTCTTAAAAGGAACATAACCGTGAACTGCATCAAAAGGTCGTCAAGATGTCTATTTCAATTCAAAACGCCATACAAATGTGGAACATTCCCTTTAATCAGCAATTAGCAACACAAAGCCCAAGCCTAAGAAATTAGTAACTATCAGCCAGCAACGCGCAGCACTTTGCGATAACATTAACACAGAAAGACGCTCCGCCAAACAATATTGTTTATTTAAAACCAAAACCAGACATCATCAAGTAAGCATGAGGACGACACGGTCCTTCCTGAGCGCACCAGACTTTCGATATTTGACATGTCTGGCCTCAGTGTTGGAGCAGTCAGAACCTCCTGATTGTACATATGCTTCACCAGTTAAAAAGCCGTCGTTTTCTTCGATTACACCCAAGCACAATTTTCTGCTAGCTCGTATATACGCAGCTGTGTAAACATCACTGAAGTCCCTGCGCACGGCATATAAACAAAGCTGGAATATTTTATTGGTCACATGTTCGTACATTCTACCTAGATAAATATGTTCTCCGAACAGCCAACGCTGACAAGAACGGCTTGATAGACACGCACAGGCAACACTGGAATTCAGTCTTACGGAAGCGAAGTTTCTGGACAACATCCCTAGCCCCAAGCACTTGATACATGAACCAATTCCGAACGCTCGCTGCAAAACTCTCCAAACAATACGATGACAACTTGACGTTTTCATATCGCATGCATCTCAACGCACGCTGGCTGGAACGCCTCAGAATGCCCTAATCTCCACCTGATCCGGCGATGTTTCGCCATGCCATCATCACGTGACAACACTAGGTGCGTCTGTCCAATTACAGCTGTTGCAGTTCCGTCCGCAGGGAGCGGTCGGTCTCTTCCCCATTCATTCCACCCGCTGGAACGGCGCTGGCCACCATCTCTCCTGGATCCACCGCTGTCCTAACATTCGGGAACATTTTTGGCGAATTCCCCAATGAAGTTTCCGGCCGGGTCTGAAACACGAGCAAACTCTGACGCACGCGCTCTATTGCATACAGTGACATATTTCTTGTCATATTTTACCTCGGATTCGATTTTATTTCTATGATATTTATTCGATAACATATGCCATGCACCATTTTTGCGGTATAAGGTGGCCGGAAGAATTTTTCGACAGACTGAGGTGTTTACTGTTTTGGAAATCCCCGTGAATGCGGGTTCACGAAAAAAAATCGAACCCGCGCACACTTTTCGTGATATTTTCTCCTTTGCTTCACTAATCTTCCTTAATTTTCAGGCATGGCAAAAGCAGCGCTCGTGAACACAACCAGATCTCAATGGGAGCTCCAACAAAGAATGTACTGCGTCAAACATTGTTACAAGACAGGCTCGTTTAAGAAAATCCAGGGCACTTTCATGCATCAGTTCGAATATGAGAAGGTCCCCTCCGAGAGCAGAATTCAGAGTTGGGTGGACTTCTTTGAAAAGTATGGGACCATGCAGAGCACCAGTGCAGCCAGAGAAAACCGTCCAAGCCACTCAGGACGCCCCAGGAGACGCACAGCCGTGGGCTGCAACATCGGCCAGAGGTATTCACCCCGCATAACGAAATTACATCAACACCGTACGCAGCGGGCAGGCCTCCGATTGGATTTGATTGGGTCTGGACTGCCCTGGGTATTACCGTAGTTAGCCACCACCATGATCTTGCCGCTCTTGGACCGCGCCTTGCCAATTCCGAGCTCCTTGCTGTCCTTCCAGATGACCTGGGAGAAGTGACCTGAAAGCAGGTCACAAACGGTCACTCGGAGCACACGGAAAAACGTCACCGCAGAGTGTGCGGCTATGGCCAGCCTTGCGCTGAATCTTTGTGCCGGCGCCCTGGGAACTTCACGCGTCCCGGAATCCGTGGGACACCTCTCCGGCAACGGACCACGCATCGACCTAGGAGGAACCACCGCGGGCGCCGCTTCCGACCACTCGCAGGCTGCCAGCTTCCTGACTGCGATAGACTACGTATCAGCGATGCAGTGGCGCCATGTCGCCGGCCCACCGCCGGCAGTTCGCGCCTGGTCAGTGCGGGGCGCACGCGGCGGCTGCTGACCCAGCACCGCCCGGGGACGAGCCAGCGGCACGGGACCAGAGCGTCGCCGACGGGCGGAGCATCGCGGGGTCCGGTGCGGATGAACACGCTCCGTCCCGTGTCCGCGCTTGTTCCGCGCGGCCGGCGGTGCAGCCGCGCTGGACTAACGCGCGGTCAGTTGGGACGGGCGCCCGATCGCTTCGGCTCCGTGGTTTGCTCAACACCGGAACTGGTGGTCGGCCGATAGCGACATCTACAGTCGGCCGCTTTGGCCGACCGCGACGTACCAGCAAAGTCCGCCAATGCAAGACGACAGCTGCGGGTAGCAGTGTCGGAGCAGCCACGATGAAGCCACGCGGGTTGCCAAAATGGTCAGCTCCAATCCGTCAAGCAGGTGGAGGCGGGACGACTGACATTTTTGCGCAATCACCACAGCCACCCCATCGCCCATAGATATGTTGACACCGATTAAAGTAAACAGCAATAGCTTTCAACGCCGCAAAATAGCCGCTTAACCTACATTTTGTTGCTTCAGACCCCCTTAGGCTATGCAGGGAGCCGCAACACTCCAACAAAGCACCAGAAAGACAATGCGGAATGGAAGGCCAACTACCCGAAAGAGCCCTCTCAGTTGAACGGCTGAGGTGGGCGGCCACTGGCGGCTCACCAGACTTGATGACGCCCGGTTCGGGTTCCCTGCCGAACTTGTGGTCCTTGATCTCGTTGTACCAGCTGTCGACGGCCTCCTGACCGCCCACCTTAAACTTGGGGTCATCACTCCACACGCAGAAGATGTTCTCGCCGTACTTCTTGTCCCGCCGGTGCTCCATCGTGTCCTTGCTGGCCATAGTTCTCGCCCATTCTTGGCTGTACTCGCAGAGCTGAAACACGAAGGCGTTTAACAGCTGCACATCAACAGCCTTCTAAAACGTCATACAGATTTGCGAACTCAGAATTATTTCAAGACGCCAAGTGTCAATATCAGCAGTCCGTTTATATTTCGTTGGGCCTTTGATAACAGCCAGCGTGCCAGGTTGCGACCGTTTATAGGTTTTAGCGGGCCGGCACTAGTTAAACGTGATGCAAAATAGTATCACGAATACTCTTGTTGTTCTCAAACAGTCGGGTCAGCAACCTAACGTGGAACCTGGTGCGTAATGGAATGCTGAAGTTGTGTCCCCTCCATGCGCCACACGGCATGCGAATGTCCCACTTGAGCCGCAGCCATTGGTCCCGTACGGCGCGCCTCGGAACGGCACCGTTGGGTGCCCGCAATGACGTCATCAAACCAGCCTCCACAACAAAGCCGCCCGGCGCGGCACCTTTTTGTTGAGCTTCAGCGCCGGCACGCCGTGCTTCCTCCGGTAAACGTTGTGCGCCTTCAGACACTGCTCGGCAAACTCCTCTTCGTCCGAGCTGCTGTCGCTGCTGCTGCCGCTGCTGGCGCTGCGGTTCTTCTTCTTGGTCTTCTTTTCTACCCGTGCCGTCTCCCGCTTCGGCTTGAAGCCAGCGGGGAAGCCGCTAAGAAAAAAAATCGAGAGTTAGAACGTGATGCAGCTCACGAAGTGGGGCATCTCTCAATCGTCGTTTTCCCAACTGCCTGTCCACCGCAAATGGCGTGTTGTGCGAAATGCAGACCGAGACAGATATAAGGGAATGAGATCGTCTAACTGGATTCACAGAAATCACCACTATCACACATCATTGAAAAGCCAAAAACATGTCCTAAGGCAAATCAAAACCGAAATTACTAACAGGCTCACATAGAAACATCCCCATGCCGACCGCGAATGGTGCGCCTGACCCAGCCCGGTCCGGTCCCGCCCGGCTCTCACCCCAGTGGCGGCACGTTGTCGCAGTAATCGCCAAGGAAATTGCCGGCCGGCGAGTAGTTGGCCACCACGTAGACGCGGCCGGACTTGGAGCGCGCCTTGCCGACGCCGATCTGGCGCGAACTCAGCCACACCACCTGCGAGAAGTGGCCTGGCCGCGCCGACAGCGCGCGTCATTGGCGGGCACGGCAGGGGGAAGCTGAGACGCGCCGGGTGCGGACAATCAGACGCAGACAACGCGGCAGGCGCAGACACGGACGCGGCAGGTGCAGACAGGCGCGTGTTGCGCGTGCCGCTGATGTCACTGCCGCATCTGCACAGGCACAAGGATGTTACTGGCACGTATTACGCCCAGATATATTGGGCACCATGGTGCACGCATATAAATGCAAAGGACATCAAAGGCTGTTGAATGTTGACAGACATAGCATCAAGCGCACTGTACTGTTAATCCGGTTACAAAGCTTGAAAACTCCATTGAAATGTTCTAGCAATAGGTTTACCAGCTTCGTCCATCCCCAAAGCATGGGGAAATCAAAGCACAACGCAGGGCAAAGGGAAGGTAGCTATAAGGTTGCATTTGGCACGACGAGCATAAGGGAAGTTGTACCTTTATAGATAAAAGTCTACATCTTTTGATTGCCCTAGGAAGCAGGTCTTTGGCAACCGGCCAAGCAACGTCAAAATTTGCATGGGCCGTTGGCGTTCCATTTGCCAGTTGTTAATACAAACCAAAGGTATTGGCATAGGTATGACTGCTTTGCAAACCATCTGTAGGACTTATCTCGGAAGTTTTGGCATAAAACAAGGATGTGTTTACACAGATTGCATCGGACGCAAACAGAGGAGCAGCATGAACAATATACAGTGTGGTGGTATGCACCGGCTGTATGAGGACTGAAAGCGAAAATGAGCAAACCACATGAAAACTTTCACTTGGTGACACAATAAGCCTCTCAAACGACGCCATGTTTGTAATATATAATTCAGCTCGTTGCGGTAAGCCACGCCTCGCTTGATTTCAGAAACAATAAAGGACGCTGTTTGAAACTCACTTCTATCATACATTTTCAACAATAATATACTGCTTTGTTACACACTACGCCGCGTACTGTTCCGGCGCTCAGCGTCATCACCTCCGATATTGTATCCAAGGCGCGGGCGGGGTACGAGGCGGGCCAACCTTGTTCCAGCCCGGCTTGTGTTGCAGTTGCACGTGCAAAGAAACACTATCCCGCTTGGCAGGAAATGGTTACGTGGCCAGGCATGAATGCAAAGCAAACACCACATCAGGGGTCGCTGCCGATGGCGGCGGCCGGAACTACCCCACTATTGTAGTCGCGTGTCAGGAGATTAGCCCTCACCTTCAGTCAGGAGGGGGGGGGGGGGGGCTCAGCCCCTCAGCCATTATTCAAGGCCTGCGAAGCGACGCGGTCGGCAAGCCATCCCTATATTGCCATAAATACGCGCTCCCGGGTGGCACATGCCGACCCGGCACAGAGAAGCGGCTGGTCGGGCCAGGTTAACGTGTCCTGAGGGATTACAGCGAGAACACAATACCGCTGCACCCGTTGCAAGCCTTGGGACCAAATCCCCACCAACCGCTGCGGGAGGGGGGGGGGGGGGAGAGACAAACCGCGAGGACAGAAGACAGCTAATTGGTTACCCCGCCGCCACTTGCAAGCGAGTCGGACGGCACCATGCGCAAGCGGGGTTCAGGTGGGCATCGGACGGTCCTCACCGCTGTGGAGGACCCCGGGGGTAGGCTCGCACGTGAAGTTGTGGTCCTTGATCTCGGCGTACCACGACTCGACCGCCTCGTGTCCCTTCACCTTGTGTTTTGGGTTACTGGACCACTAGGCGTCAGAGAGGGGCGTTAGCGGCGCGGCCACGGCGGCTAGGGGCGTGGCGCAGATGCGCTGTTAGGGGGTTAGAGGAAACACGACCATGCCCAGACAGGTTATCGAAGGGAATATGAGCGGGCTCCGATCACGCTGCATGTTTGTGAATATCGACAGCGTTTACAGCACTCATGTAGACGACAGACATTGCATGGGCTGAGGGTGCCCTACGTCCAGCTTTCATACATTGTTCTCTATGTACTTCAAATATGATTGAACTACAGTGGAAATCAAAGGATAGCCGTACAGAAGAACTATTGTTAGCTGTGAGCATACTTCACCGGAGTGTTTTTCTCTTTTTCTGCTTTCTATACCTTGCAGTAGATGTTTTCGCCGTCCGAGCTGTCCTTGCGGTGCGACATTTTATCATCTTTCGCTAGCTGTTTTGCCCATTCTCTGGCAGACTTCGTCAGCTGGAACACAAAGAGAAGGCATGTGTCAGCAGTTAACAGTGACATCGTACTCTCTTGTTTGGCGCAACGAGAACAGTCATGCGGTAAAAAGTGACAGTTTATGGGTAATTTCCGAAGGGCTCACACCAAACACCGTGCACAGCGACTTCGAGCAAATCAGTAAGTCCATCCAAAGTTATGTGCGGTTTAATTTAGCGCGCCATGGTTTCGATAGCATTATGACACACAAGTAACATGCGACAGTCACCATATCAGACCTCTTCACCCAGTCAATGAAGCCTAGCGCCCTAAGGAACCCTTGACGGGGTTTACATCCACATCAATTCGCAGCACACTTTGCACGAGCCATTATGTTTTGATGGTTGTAGCCGTCTGCGGTATAAGGCGTAACGATGAGGATAGGCCAGTGAAGTACGCTTTTACGCTTTACTTCTGCATCGCTGAGGGAGACAGCTATGACAAGCAATTCTTGGTATTGAGGAACAGTACAGACACAAAAGCTGTTACTACTTGTAAGAAACTCCAGTACGTTTTACGCCTGAACGACACAACAAAACACAACAAAATACTGAAATCTTATCGATCGACGTCATTTTTCAGCAATCGCAAAAATGAACATTACGGCATCTTATCTAACCCACAGTGCTTTGGTGTTACGGTCGCCGTTCACTACGCTTTCAGCTCGTTTGCACGCATGAGTCCCGCCCATTCCTTTATCACCTAAAGGCGTCCATACATTCGCGGATAAATTCATCAAATACATGCAAGAACGGAGGACGCGGGACGGAGCATGCTCGGCCTGCAGCCGAACTCAAACAGTTGGCACGCCTTAACGAAGCACTCCACCTACGACACAGTCAACTTTGAATTGGAAATGGCAACGGAAGAAAAGGCAAGTGAACCCTACCCATCACGGTACTGAGGCGTTGTGTACGTTCACTTATCACGCGTGTACAGAAAGATGTCCAACGGGTTGTGATATCCATTTCCACGAAACCAACGCCTTTCGGCGAGCTCCGAGCAGCGTGAGTCATGACCTACAGACGCATGGCTCTGGTCGAGGCGGGCTGACACCACCCCGCTTTGGGTCAGGTCAGGTCACCTGACCTCACATGACCTCAGTCCTACCTTCCTGCTGCGCTCCAGTGGCGGCACGTTGTGTTTCTTGCGGTACTCGTTGTGCGCCTGGATGCAGTCCTCCTCGAAGTGAGCGTCGTCGTCGCTGGAGCTGCCGCTGCTGCTGCTGCGGTGCCGGTGCTTCGACTTGGACTGAAACAACGCCAGTGGACGATGTGCGCGACCTGGTGGCGAGCCGGCCTCAATGGCCGCACCCAGCAAAGCTCGATGTCGGCAGCGGCCGGCTACCCCCAACGGGCTACCAATCGCCTCAGGGCATAGGCATCGCCAGATTCCATCGCAAAATCAGGCAGGCAAAGGTCACTCAGACGTCTGTCGGCCAGCGCGCCTCGAGACCTATAGACTTAGCGGTGATACATCGGAACATTACCAGCGTTAAACAATGAAAACATAGGGCTCAGGCCATGTTGCTGGGTACGTACCTTACAAAACGTCGCTTGTAACAATGCTAGATTTGGTGTAAATCCAGGAAATTCCTATATTTGGGGACGTGCACAATAAAACACAGCAAAAGTTAAGTAAGACAAGTGTAATGTAAACAAGGGTATGCGGTCGCCCAGGTAGATAAAACGAAGCAAGTTATACCATTTCTACTAAATACGGATATTTAAAGATTGTTTAAAATTGACGACGTTTTCTTGATGGCAAACAAAGTAAAACATTACGATGGATTCGCACAATCCACAACTTTTGGTGCTCAGTGCAACCACAATGCAGTTCTGCTGCATAAAACTCCCCATCTCCGTCTAAGTCAGGAACTGAGGCTGGTTCGTGCTTTTTAGCTTTCATTTCAAATTCGCACCGAAATGAGTCGATCGCGGTAATGTTGCAAATCGCTGGCTCAGTAACCCCAGTGCTGACACGCCGTTGGTCGATCGTCCGCAAATACAAACACTTGATCGCAACGGCCCTATATTGGGTAAAAATCCATGCAGCACTATCCGTTCATCTTCTGAATGACACCGTATTCACGTCAAGATGTTGGAGGTGATGCTAGATACTCGGCTGATCGTAACTGTTGCGATGATCACCCTCATAGGCATCTCCGTTTGCTGACCCAATACATTTCGGGAACTGACGATAGTGTTTCAATTGTCTGAAATAAAATGTCCACTTAAATCCTGGGGCGCCATAACCACCAACCCCAAAGGCAGGAGTACAGCAGAGCAGGGAGAGGTTATCCAACTCTTCATGCGCGAAGGATTATAATGTGGACGTGATGTGCATTTGGTCCACGATGCTCCAGTGTCTGTTTGACAGATGTTGCACTCAGGCGCGTCCAAACCATGCACACAGTTCTCCATTTCTCCACGGCGACCACTTGACCGCGCTGCTGCCTGTTTCTGACGTCACTGGGGTGTTATGTCATCAGTAGTCGGACCATAGATTGTCGTCGCTTTCTTCGTCAAGCCACTGCTGTATCCAGCTTCGCTGCACCTGCTTTAGTATCTCCTTTTCTTGCCTGGTAGACGCTTTCGCCTGCTGGCGATGCCCTGGACCAGGTAGTACATTGCTCACTGTGTGTTTCGGTACACTGGCATGTTTGGAAGCTACAGGTAGCGCTGGAGATGAATTTTTGTGCCGAGGTGCGTACCTGGGGCTACGTTGAGTTGCATGATACCCGGTCTCCATAAGCTTGTCTACTAGAGTTGCCTGCTTGCCAAGTGCACGGCTCTTTCCCCACAACGGTTGAGGATTACAACTTCCTCCAGTTTTGTTTTTGCTGACCGGGACACGTTCTTTAGCATGACTTGGGCCAGCATTTTTCACATGATCTGAAGATCCTGGATGATCCTCCAGTGAACACGATGTCCTTGGCTCAGTAATTTTTCCTCGTAACTTACGCTTGAGCTTCAATGTGCGATTTTCCTCCAACAGACTTTTGATGAATATTCGCTGATCTTCAATTGTACGTTCCAGGTGGCAGATGTAGGTCTCAATCTGATCTACGATCTCCTCAGTTCCAATTTGCGTGACAGACTTACGTCTTTTAAGACCTTTGGATTTTGTTTTTTTAGGCCCCTTCCCCACACCTTCAACGCTTTGAGGCCTCACAGACGTGGGTTCCGATGACAAGCCGTGCAACATTTATGAAAACATTTGGTCACACATATGACATCGTTCACGCATCAGCTCATGCTTTCGGCTAGCGAACGCCTAGCCTCTTTCCATACTTACAGGCCCACTCCCGTCGTCCATAATCAGGTGTGCGAATGCTTTAGCTGACTCTGTTTCCGCCAGCAGGGTTTTTCGTAATGTGTGTACAACCAAACATGGATGTGTACAAATCAGGTTCGCGTCACTGCAAATTGCTGAATTTTACAACAGTCGAGCAACTGCATGCTGAGATGCTACGACGATTTGGCCCCAATCTTTTCCATCTATTGGCTCCTTCGCTCGTCCCGCTATATATCACATGAAAAACTACAAATATTCCGATTCAGCACAAGAAACAGGCACTGGCTGCATGTGCGAATAATCCGGACACACTCGCATTAATAAAGAGGGAAAATTCTGCACCATCCCAGTTTTTCAAACATATCTAAATGATGTGCAATGGGCCAGTAACACGTCTTATGGCTGAGGATACTCCTGACGCACAAAGTGAGTCATGTATATGCTTGATTAAGCCTAGATCAAGTATTAGATGCATGTTGGCAATCTCACTGAATGACCTGCAGCCACGTAAATGATTCTTTGCAGCATGGTTTGGACACTGACTAGCGGTTTCTCGCGCTTTAAGTAATAGCAGATTCTGCATCAAATACTGTGCATTGTGCATGTTTCTCATGACGAATGCAGATGAAAAGTAGCATTTTAAAGTTCAGTAGCCCACGTATTGGAAATCAAATATCTTCCCAGAGATAGGCCGAGAACCACTGTGTGTTCTAGTCTGTTTAGAGGAAAGGCGTCATGAGCCACATGTCATGCACTGAAAAACGTAAAGAAGTGACGACTCAAGGATACTTGCGTTGCGACATTTTGTCTGCCATGCCTTCGATTTCTCCCCCCCCCCCCCTTTCTCCGGCCAAACAGCTTTTCCAAGATTACTGGCGCATGTCGGATGACAGCGCCATCATATTTGGTGTAGCTTATAGGACTTCTTTTGCGCACGTTTAACGATTGGCCACTGGCCTTTGACAAGTTAATGAGCTTTGGAGTAATTTCTGAAAATCTGCAGCGTTTTCTATATGTGAACTATACACGCATCGCTCTTTTCGACTTTCAAACAAGTTTCGTGAATTGTGATAACTTTTCGACACTGATCGTTTCCGTGTCACGAACCCTGAACCTCACTCAAGCATAGTGTCGTGCCAAATGTGGCAATTTCCCCACTTGTTCACATCATGAGCATTAATTGCGACATATCTGCAAGGGTGCAAGATGACCTGAGGGTTGATCCGAATAGACATTCTTCGATCTCCTAGGCATCTCGTTACGCCTTTTCGTTATTCGTAACGCTGGCTCAATCGGCAGCAAAATGGCGATGAGGCAAAATCACGAATAGAACCACTGGAAGCGAAAAATAAGCATGTGTGCTCCCACCCAGCGAAGGACAAAAGGCGATTTGCCGGGGCCAGAAAAAACTACTTAATTAATTTTCTAAGCTTGAATTCCTGCATTTAACATCCTAAAACATCTTCCTTACTTCAGCCGACAGCCTACCAGTCCGCATCCTTTACTCCAAGGCCGAGAACACAGCTCTGAACGCAGCCCCAGACCCCAGGAGCTGTACCTCCTTCTTGGCCTTGCTGGACGCCTTTGGGCTGGGACTGCGCGACTTTGAGCTGCGCCTGAACCGGGAGAGGAGACCGCCCTTCTTCTTCTCAGCACTGGAGCTGCGGCTGCGGTGCCGCCGGTGGTGACGACCGTGACCCTCGTTCGACGAGGACGACGAGGACCGGCGCCGGCTTCCGTCTGCGGACACGACACGGCTCGGTCTGGGCCTCAGCTGATGACCCGGGGGAGGGGAACAGGGAGCCACAAAATAAACAGCACACTTGGATGACGAAGATAAGTTAAGCATGACCGTCTTATGGCCTTTTCCCAGTAAATGACAACGTACGGTGCGTCTGGCTCTCCCTGGCATCTTTCGGCGTGCGGTGATACGATACAGATCGTTGTGTGCCATGTCATTGGGGCTTTAATACGTACTCAGCTGCTGAGGCTATATGGCGTTGCCTGCCTTTCACCCTGGCAGGAGGGGCGGGCACCGCGGGGAATCGAACCCCGTACCTCTGGTTTCCCAGACGCGCAGTGGCTAACGCAGACGCGTTAACCACTACACTACCGGCACTCCCAGGCAGATCGTTGCTGCAGGCAATGATGTGCCAACAAAGTAAGTATCCCATCTACAGTCAGCAACTCATCTCCAACTGCCACTGCCACAAATACGACAGGGTTAATGGGCGGTTCCGCTATATCGATACCCATATGCATCAGCAAGCTTGAGTTCCAGCTAGCGCCGAAAGACGGCTCACTCCAAAGTGATCATAGGCACGCTATCTGCCGTTATCGCGTCTCGTGCTTCGATTTGGCAGGATTCCACCAGATAATGATGATATGGTTAGTTGCCTGGCGTTTATCAGACAGTGCTACCGGCAGGTACCGTCTCTGCACACGATTTTCAGGTTCGCTACATCTGCTAACAACGCATGATATAGTAATTCCCGCCGCAGCTGCTAAGGCCGGCTGCCAAAAAAGGCCATTCAATTTGTAGCCCGGCCTGACATTACAAAACACTTCCACAGCAGCAAATAGAGCCCCAGAGAGGCATTCAGATCTCACGCTTGCTGTCCTCGAGCGCCTTCTTGGTCTCCTTGTGGAATGTGTCGAGGCCGGTCCCCTTCTTCGTCGTCTTGACCGTGGTCAGCGTGGAGCCATCTTCCATCGTCTCCGTCGTCTCGGTCGTGATGATCTCCACGCCGGGCTCCTGCAGCATCGGTGAGATTCAGTTGAATGGTGGCAAGGCACTCATGCCTATTCAGGTAGGTCTTTGCACGAATCCACGGAATTGAACTTTGAGCTCGAGATCTGGATTTTTAGTCCTGGATACCACCTAAGCTGGGGTCCTGGATGCATTACAAAATGAGACGAAGGATTTTCGAGATCCCAAATCTATTTACACATTCTGCTGCTGATATGAGCAAGAAAGGCGTTGAGCTCCTTCTTTTTTGCATTATGAGTTAAGCCTTCTCATACTATAGTTGTAGACCTTCCATATGCCAGAAGGTACTGGTTAAACGACTTGAGTTTCCCGTGTTTGGTGAAGACTTTAGCGAAGAACTGGTTGCAGGGTATTAGAAAGTAGGAATTCGAACAATGTACTACGCTGACATATTTCGTGGCAGTGTCTGCAAAGATTCTGAGCGTGCTCCGTGTGTTTTGATCTATAAATGTTACAGTCCAGCCAATAATGTCGTTTAACCAGGCCGTCCTAGCATGATGAAGTTCAATAACTGCCAGCATACGAACTTGGAGCTCACAACACACATTTTGCGCCAGAAACTTTCGGGACCCAGGATTAGTTTGCTAATTTATTGATTGATCTGCAACTAGAATCTAGGAATCAGTTCAATAGGAATGGCGGGTAGCTTTTTCTAAATCATATCTGGAAGTCGCCTGCTTCAGAACGACGTGAAGAGCAAAACTTGAAAAACTTGGCGAAATCCAGCGAGTGGCTATTCTAGCGCCGCGTCAGTACGTACTGCATAAATGAACACAGAACACGCAACACATGAAAATGAGACGCAACGCCAGCGACACACACACGATGTTATAACAAATGAGCGATTTATGATACAATCCGCACCAGCACGTCACAGCCAGTTGGTCAACTTAGGTAAGTTCTCTGATGAAAGACGTCGCTTTGCCCTAGAACTCATTTAAGTTTTTGCACCGGCGCGTGGCAGCGGGGAGCATTCAGGGAGTATAGAAAATCGCGACAGATGGCCTACAATACGGTGTTCCCCAGAAATCTTGTGGAAGGCCTATTAATATTTCCAAAACAAAATCTGTGTTCAGCCTTGCCGAGCTATTTCGCTAGAGAGCTGCACCACGGGTGTCGACTCATTGCACTTAATCGATTACCAGCAGCTGCAGTGGGGATGCCATTGGTACGTGACGCCCACATGCCCGGAACTATGCCGCGGGCACTGCGGCGAGAGGTAGCTCTTTATTGACACGGCGGCGCAAACAGCTTGGGTCCTTTGTGCACTGCCAGACGTCGTCCCAACGCGTCTGAGCCGTCCGAGAACAAAGAGACACCGCTGTTTACATTCCCGTGTCTGCGGTGTGACTTCCAAACCCGCGGTGATCACTGCGACCGTTTTCGCCCAGCGGTCGTGGTGTCAGCTGGAGATCAAACCCAGACCCCACGGAGAGGAATACTGGTGAATACTGGCTTAAACAACTGGTTTATTTCGCCACCATTGTACATCACTCTGGCTACACAAAACAGTTAGGACAAAGCACGAACAAAAACACTTCGGACATGTATCCAATGAAACTGAAATGCCCTGGATCTTAAGTTGATACCACGACTACGTTTGAGTACTAGCTCCGCTTTTTACGCAAAATAAAAGGACTGCTGTTATCATTGATTTCCAATTCAATAACTTTTTATTCAGCGTTCGTAAAATACTTTTAAGGAAATGCTAATGCTGCAAAAAAATTGTCTACGAGAGCCTTCTGTACTCAGCTGCAAAGTGTGTGACAACACGACATTGATGTAATAACTTTACCCACACTTGACATATATTAATTACTAACGAAAGACATGTTTCTGCTCCGAGCCCATATTTAAGCTTTATTGTACTTAAAGTTAATGATTTCTACAGGTTTCTCCACAGTGGGTAGATGGTCTCCTGACTTACGGTAGGCGTTAATTTTCCAAACCCACTGGAAGTTGGACATTGGGCTGATAGTCATTCCGGATTGTCCATAGTCTATAATAATTCACATAAAATGATGAATTCGTATGGAGCCATGCCGGGGGATCTCCTTGGATCCAGCAACATTATTCTAGCCGGCAAATGGAAGTCCGTGGTCGTTCTAAAATTGTCCAAGTATTGCCTGGGATCTAGGAACTCTTGGAACTTAGAGGAATCTCTCACGATTCAGGATCAATTTCGATTTAGACATCTTATGCGAGATCCATTTCTGGGATCTACACCCACGTCTGCTGAAAGTAAGGTTAACATCAGTTGGCAACACGTCGAGGGGAGGTTTCAATCCCTGACATTCCCTGTGCGAATTTCTCATACGTAATGTGTTTCTTGCTCGATCAAAATGTCATGACTATCTAATACTTTACCTTGATTAGTCAAGGACACCTGCTTTCAAAGAAAACACCGTGCACGCAGGATAGCGATCAGCCAACAACTGGCGACGTATATAAATGGCCTAGGTGAGAGCGCCTCATCATTGATTTATTGTTTCGTTGTCGGGTGAAACATCGAAAACGCGAAAAAGCCCAAACCATGCAGACGAACATGATCTCAGACATCACGCCATGTATCAGTGCCTTGCGTCGGCCATATTTTGCTCACATTTGTTGCACAACTTATTCTCCGCAATCCATTCGTCGTCATACTTGACGCATGTGACACAGCTGAACGACTATCGCGAGCAATAACGCAACTGCACGCCATCTTATCTTCCAAAGCCACATAAAACGGCGGAAGCTATCGCAACGGATAACGGATGACATCAGCTGTGATTGGTGAGTCGGAAGCCATCGCAGGCCATGTGTCCCAAGGTTATGCGGTGGCCATGATAGGCACACGAAAAGCACACATTTGCAAGGCTGCTCACACCGCTGCCTATCCACAGGCGTGAATGACAGGTGAAAAAATGGGCGCAAACATCCAGGGCTTTCTTCCGCTGCGTGAAAGCCCGGGATAAGATTCAACGTGATGAACGTCAAGGTTAATAGTTGCTGAAGGAGCTCAAAACTGCGGAGCCCGCTGATGCCAAGCCTGCTTCATTCAACCCGTTGGTTGTAGATTGATTGTCACAATCAGGCTTCAAGCCTCATCAGATGTCAGTTGCGTTGTCAGGTGTCTATCCCGCAGATGTCTAACACGTATGCGCTATCTCACATGACAGTAAAGATCATAGTTGTTTGGTCCAACGCCTGCGACAAAAAACGATTGGACGCGAGAACGGAAGCCTTCAGGGCTTTCAGCTCAAGTGCTGCTAGACACGAGTTGAGTTGCGACGATTAACAGGCGTACGTGGGCTCAAAAAGGGAACATTGCGTTAAGTCGCTGGACAGACATGATAAATTATGCTTCACAATACTTCACCCTACACAACTGACATGAACCGACTTCGGGCCACCCAGCTCCATGCATGCAAATTAGGCATCTTAACCACACAAACATTGGAGCTTTGCATCTATTATATATCAAAAGTACTGGAAATGTTTCCTCTCGTCCAGAAATAAACCAAAAAGACATAAAACCTCCGGCTTCGTTTTGAATCAGACGCACGCGACAATCATTAGCTTGATGGAAACCAGACAGTGGCGCGGATCCATCCGTTAATCGCAAGACGATGCTTGTCACTTGAAGGACGGAAGGTAATGAACTAGCCAAGCCTATTCGATATCCCTCCCCCGATCATATGATTCAACACCATGGCATTGCTCTCATCACTCTAACTATACATTCCGCATGAACATTTCAGTCAAAACACGAACCCTACGCGCCGCCTTGCAGCACACAACAGCGAACAGACGGACCGTAAAGCGCGTACTCCCCGCCCGACCCCACACCACACCCTCACGCCCGCGTCAGCACCTCACCCTGCAGTAACAGACGCCCACAATGACCACTTCGCATGGCCGCCAGCAGTAACAGACGGCTCGTCGGGTAACCACACAAATGAGCCCATCAATTCGCGCTATCTGTCGTGCGTAAACAGAGCGCGCAGAACGAACCGCCGAGTCAGCCGCCGCGGCGACCCGGCCGCTGGCTCAGCCGGCCCAATGCCTGCTGCTGCAAATCCTGCATGCGTTACCCGCCCCCTCCCCGCGCGGATGGGGACGGGGAGGGGGTCTGGGCGAAACGGCCGGGGCAGCGCCCAGCGCTCGGGCCTTGTTCTTCCCTGACCGCATTCGGTGGCAGGACCCATGGCCGACTGTCAGCACATCGCGATCCGTGACTGGCTGTCGGCACATCGAGACACATCGAGACCCGTGACTAGCTGTTAGCACGCCATGATCCGTGACTGGCTGTCAGCACACCATGATCCGCGGCTGGCTGTCAGCACGGCATGATCCGTGACTGGCTGTCAGCACATCGAGACCCGTGGCTGGCTGTCAGCACATCGAGACCCGTAACTGGCTGTCAGCACATCGAGACCCGTAGCTGGCTGTCAGCACGTCGTGACCCGTGATTGGCTGTCATTACGTCAAGTTCCGGTTAGTTCGAGTTCGAGGTAAGTTCCGGCGACCGAGTCCGCGTCACCCATTGTCTTTCCCCTGTTTCCTTTGATGCGTCTTGTGAGCTCTGGGCAGCGTGAAGGGCCATGCGTAATGTGCAGCAGGATTGGTCAATACTTCGCTTCGTTTTCGTTCATTTTCCTTTTATGTTATAACTATGACTTGTGGAACGCATGGGTCCAGAATGGCTTCTGGCTTCTGAGAACTGGGGCTGAACTTGTCCAGGCAGCTTAGTCAGAAGGGCGTCCAACACGCGGATCAATGTGTGACAGGCGTGAATTTGCGTCCCAGGCAACGCGCTTGTGTTATGACGAGTAACGGGCAGCTCGTCAAAAGTCAGGCGAGCTCGGAGGCGGCTGTATAGTGATGTAATGTAGCGTTCAAAATATTCCAGTAAAAGTCCTCCGCTGAACTCGAGTTCGCTGCCGATCAGCAGTAAACAGCCTCTGATTACAAGGGAATAATCCTACAAATTCGTTTAAGCACACATGGCTTGTTGCAGCCTGCCCAGTTTCTTTTTTAAATTGCGGTTTCGCTGGGTTTTCTGTCGGGCTGTCAGTGACTTGGGATTACAGGGAATGCTCCACGTTAGAGGATATTGAGATAAACATCAGATGTGATGGGAAAAGCTGAGTTGTAACTATTGCTCAGCTGTCAAAGTTCAAAAACGGCAATAAGAAGCAAAATTTCAAATTTGGAAAAATGCGCCCCATTACGTCATTGTTTGATGGCGTCGTGGAATCGTTTTGTGACGACAGCAATACCTGGCAGCATCTGGCTGCCAGATCTCAAGAATACCTCGAAACGCACGAAAGCTGAAGCCAACCGGCCATTCTCGGGCGGGCGCTGGGTTGGGTGGCGGATCACTGAATGGCTTGTTTTTAGATTTTTGTCTTGGCCGTAAGAGAAGCTTTGGTGGGCAGTCTGACAAACGCAACGTAGCGACGCCACCTCTTAGGGCAGATTACTAACATCAAAGCACGATATGCTGTGAAGACTGTCATATAGCATCATGAACCTCTTACCGAAACCTGCCCAGGACTGTTGAGAATGTCAATACTGTATTGTCGACTTGTCCTTGCCTGCAGTGCTGTAGTCCTGACATTGATATCATGTGATGTGCACGGTAGTTGCTGTCTTCATTATTTGCAATTGTAAATGCAAATGTGTGCAACAATTAATAAATATGTAACCTTGCTATGAACTGATTGCCAAAACATTGTTATTGCTATGGTGATGATGGTAATGTTGAGCCCTACCAAGAATGTCTTTCTTGCTTATGGTTATTTATGCAATTACTAGCTAACCCTGATTTAGCCATTGTTGTGCAACAACATTCCCGCTGATGGCATTCCCGCATTCCATTTGGTGTTGTCAAGTCAGTTGCTACCAGTCCTTTATAAATTATAAGCTGTGATCTCATGGGCTTGGCATAGAGTGGTCAACAAATGTGGGATACTGTGAACTGCACGAGTCAACAGCGTCATCATGGCACTACCTCAGTACTGTACTATGGCATGACATAATTAACAATGATACATTTTTTGTACTGCAGCCCCTGCTGCTTTCATAACAAATTCCATCATGAAAAGATGGGTCATGCGTGCATTCTTGTATTAGCTCCGCATCTGACAAACGACTGACCAAAAACCCATGATACAATATACAAATGACTTTCAGCAAAGCACATAACCATCAAGTGACATCACTTGCTCCGCCCGTTTTGGGAATCCACAAAACATAGGTGACACAGATGCAAACACACCTTCTGCTTCCACAGACATGCAACATGCTGTAGCTATCAGGCTGCTACAAACATGAATAGCATATGTATAACAAGAAAATACTACAGGTAGTTAAATGGCACTGTAAACCTGCTGACGCACAACGCTGGACACATGACAAGCGCATGGAGTTATGGTTATATGGGCGAAATGCAAGTAAGTAATGAAGCTGCCAGTGCACACAAGGCTCATGATAAAATTTTTATTAAGTGCTATCCAAGAAAACACCAGCAATGCTCTTAGTACCCAGCATCTCACTAAAGTTGCAGTGACTATGACAGCGTTGACCCACAAGAAATGCTTGTCTGCATACAAAATTTGTACAGTGTGTGCATCCATAATAATACAGCACTATCTTTCCATAATTCTTCCGTGAAGGACAATTTTGCAAAGCCGTATCATGCGAGCTTATACCAAGCATGCGTATTAATGAGTTGCACTAAACTGTCCCTACTGCCTAAATGACTTGCTAAAATAATGACATGCAATGGATTAATTACACGCTGTAATACCTCAATAGGTTCAAAATGTTGGAAAGATCATAATGAAGTAGAGAAGTGCCTTTGAACACCCCTACAGCATGGGTGCTAGTGTTTCTTTCAGTCTGCCGACATAACTCCTTGTCATGTTGAAATGCAAAACTTAAGATAGAGGCAGGTATCCATATAGCACATAAGGTCAAGACAAGCCACTGGCATGCACCACCAGTGATCATACCCATTCCAGGCGCCTGATCTACACTCTAATGCCAAATAAGTGTGATCCCACACTGCACAGCCCGTAGAACTATCAAATTGCAGGTTTTCTCGCAATTTCCGCAGAGATTTTCGGTTATAACACCGCATTTCACCGTCAGTTTCCTTCAAAACAAAGTTCCAGCGGGGGTTCATGGTAACACAACTCAAGAGGTTGCACTTGTTGGACACAATTTTTTGGTCAATATTTAACTTTGTCTTACAATGTGTGTTAAATGTTTAATAAAAAACACCTATCTAAAATTACTTTAATATTTCCCTAATTTTATGATGCCTTGCTAAACCCATAAACCCGTGCATGGTTCTTCCCTCTGGTACACAAGGCGTCAACCGAGCCGTCTGCAAGAAATACGCCAGCAGAAGAAAAAAACGCCAGCAGGAGAAAAAAAATTGCGGACGCGTCTTCTTTTTTTATAACATTCGGGAGAGTGTCGTTCTTTTTTTCATTGCTGCACTTTTTGCAGACAATGGCCCTCTCTTCTTATAACATTGACCTATGGCCTAGAACTAAGGAAAAATGCCCTGTTGGCGACCAGTGCCGCACAACCCGAAAGTGCTCACGCTTGCGTTCGCGACACGCATCCAGCAGCGCAATCTTACTAACAGCCAATCACCTTCCGCGAATTGTATCATACGTGCCGCATCATCGCTCTTGCGGATGTATTAGCGCCCATGCTGTTTTGGCCATGAGCAGAAAACAGCCTGTAATATAACGGCAATCGTATAATGTTTCTATGACGATATAAATGCCAAGGTGACTTTGAAGTAATCTTTCCATAAACCTTTTCGTACTTTTGCGGGCGTATAATTTAAGAGCCAGAAGGTGTTGGGTCTTGGCCGTGAACTGCATCAGAAGGTCCTCAAGGAGGGTATTTCAGTTCAAAACCCCATGTAAAAGTGGAGCATTCCCTTTACACTTCTCGTATCTTATATTACCCTGTGCTACCGCACTCTCGTCGATTAAACCAGTCGTGCCAATTCGCACCGTTCTCGGACAACGCTGGCCACACCCAAGAGTTGACTTACCTATTGACGCTTTCTATTCCAAACGGGTGCATGTGCCCAGGTTCTCACGCGACGCTTGGCCATATGAATCATTATCTCGTGAGGGATGGTGAATCACATTCCATTGTCATCTGTTCAGCATCACTGAAAGTTACCCGCGTGACGCCGTGTAAGCACTCCACCACACCGCACCCGGGAGCCCCTCCCCATGAGAGCAGAGCTCCGCGCTCGTGTGGCCCGGGCAGGCATCGACGGCACGGGCAGCAATTGTTTAACCACCACGTACGCCGGCCTTGGTGACGGCACAGTCACGCGCCGCCGGACGGACGAGGCCTCGCTCCGCACGCCCAGCAGCCCGTGGTATGCGTACACCGTCAGCCAACCGTCTATACTGTATACATATACACGCCCACAGCGGCGGCGACTCGCCGCGAGACCCACAACGCCCGTGAGACCCTGATGTGGCGCTCTTCCAGCGGCGTGGCCAAGAGGGCTCTCGGGTCATACCCAATACCTCGCCTCTGGAGGAGCCGGGGCCCCTCTCAGACCAAATACCCCGACTCCTTTGACAACTCGGAACGTCCGCATGGGTTCCGAAATATACAACCAGACCCTGAGGCATCAAAATAGGTACCAATGCCAAATAAAGGTCACAAAAATCAACAAAACAGGGCCGTAAGCCACAAACAGGGTCCTCTTGGCTGGAAAGCCCACCTATGACCCGTTTTGACCCCTCCTACGCCAAGCCCTGGCCACGCCGCTGCATCCCTCCCTTCCCCACTCGGCTGTGCCGCCAAAACGCGCTTGAAACAGTCCAGACCAGCTCACCGCCCCGAATTTAGAGCAAGAGCTACCAGAGCGTAAAGCGAATGGGAGGTCATTGGGCGCATGGCCCGCCACTGCACAGCAATGCCGCCGGCAGGAACGACAGATAAGGGGTGGGGCAGCGGCAGCTGCCCCTCCCTAACTCCAAGGCAACATTTCACGTTAACCCTAGTGCATAGATAGAAAGAAATGAGACAAAAAAGCGGTGTATGGGAGGGAATGAGACAAATTCGGGCTTACCCTGCATCTCCACAGCGGTTCGGCCGTCACTGAGCGCCAGGCGGCCATGACGCGCTTCGTCCACGCAGCAGACGACATGACGTAATGCCATGGCCGTCTCCAGCACACCAGGCAATGTGAAATGGCTTGTTGATACGCTGTCTCCGGACAAGTCCAGCCAGGAGTGTTTAAGCTTGCGGCACGGCTGAATGGCATCACGTTCGCAAAACATGCCGATGCGCAGATCTTTGGTTGGCTTGGACGTTAAAGACCGGTCGGAAAGCGCATCGAGGGAACCTGGCGCGAATTCACCGCCCCGAATTTCATGCTGAAATCCTACTCGGAATGACAATGGAAAGTGACCGGTGCTCCGAGGGCCAGGTTGACATTAAATCCAAACATGACTTATGCCCACATGGAATACTCACATCTGGTGAGCGTTTGGTGTACGTCTTGGTCTCCTTCTTGACCACGGAGGAAGGCATGGCGCTGCCGCCGCTGGGGTGCCGGAGCCACCTGGAGGAGACAGCATCTTGCGTGAGCGTCCCTCTGCTGCCCGATGTCAAGAGCACTTCACGCCGCGCGCGCGAGAACATGCCCACAGCGTTGTCGGGACCGGACTGGACCAGGCGTCCGCCGCCCGCCGGCTGCACCCGAGCGAGGTCAGTTCACGCCACAGCGTCACCGAAAGCCGGAACAAAAGCGGACGGCTGGGTCGGCCCGGCAACGACCACAGTCAGCCGTCGCCGCTAGCGTTATGCCCCATATCCGTGGCCGACGCCCACGGCGTTTCTACTGCGGCGGCTCGGCGGCGGTTGGATGCGTGTTATGTGCAGCTGGTGGGAAGCCGCGCCGGCGGCAACAGCTGCGGCGCGGCCGTGGCGGAAGTGGCGAGCGGCGCAGGGCCGCTGCCGACGGCGGGACGCAAACCCCGCCGGTCGCGTCCGGTGTCAGCTGCGGGAGTCTGCGCGGGGTGCAGCTGCACGTGGGCACTGAGCGACGGGCGAAAATCGATGCAAGGCGGTCACAACAATGGCGGCACGAAGCGCTCATGAATGTTTTAACTACAAATACTTACTTCATCACAGTTGAGTTAAATAGCACAAATAGATAAAATGACTTGATGACACATGACAGTCTTGATGGCCTCCACATGTCAATGTCATTTTGTGAAGAAATGCGAGTATCCTCGCGAGCCATGAATGGATGGGCTCATTTTAACAATTTCCGAAGCTTACTAAGGATGCTTAACAGGCGCTGCCAAAATTATCCTTAGGGGATGCCAGATGTATCCCGAATAGTGTGGGTTGGGACTACTGACCCACCAAATCCTGCAAAATGACCCATTTTCAAGTGTAAACCTCTTGGCCCAGGTGGGGACGACGACCCCCTGGTTCCTCTCCTCTTGGCTGCGTCCCTTGTCGTCAGGCTCTCCGCCGCTGCCGCACATTGGTCACGGGATTTAGGCTGCCGGTCGCCCACGCCAGTCACATGCGCTTGAGTCATGGTATGTAGGCGCTCCAACCCCCCCCCCCCCCCCGCATCCCCTCCTCTTCCCACACTCCGGACGTCCAACATTAAGGGTGGAGCGTGGAGCGACACTGGTCTGGATCGATGGTGGCTTTTTCCGCCGCCTACCGAGAACTGTTCGGCTCCTGTTCGCCCAGGCTCGGCCAGCCGCGATACCATGCGAACGGGACCCGAAATGCAACCCGGCGGAATGCAATCGGAATCGAGCGGGCTTCTTGCGGAGAGCCGGCCGAGATAGCGTTGTTTAGGTTTGTGTGGTTCAGATCGCAGTGGCTGCGCTCGTGTCGAGTGGATCTGCTGAGCGAGGCAGCGTTCATCCGCGAATGCTCCATGTTCAGAGAACTCAATCACTTGTAACCCGGATCCATTGCTGAGCATGCACCTGGGTTCAAATCAGCAAGGTAAACGTGTGTTTGTTTTATTTTTGTTTTTGTTTTTGCTATTTAAAAAACCGTATTTGTCACTCGTACCAAAAGGGCTTCGCGCACAGGGAAAAGGCGAGGGAGAGAGACAGATACCTGCGCCCCGCGCTGTCAGGACCGAATGGAGATCAAGAGGCAAACAAAACCTCATTATGTAGCTTATGGAGTTGTCAATATATTATTATGGTTCGATTCATAATTTGAGGCCAAGGTTGAAATCGTTTGAATTCATGTGCCATTTTTTCCAAGTTTTGCAAATGATTCGCGAGCCGCCCTGTTGGCTGGATCTGTCAGCGAATGACAGCTTTGTCGTGATGCTGGGTCCAAAAACCCATCATTGGATGATGCTGAAGTTAAGTCTGAAGAAATCAGTAGTCGCGCCGCCGTCAAACAAAGTCAGTCCAGGGCATTGACTTGTGGTAGCCTTCCGTAGTAAAATTCCACATGCACATGAAGAAGCGATACCGTCATGACTAAATATAAAGGAAAACAAACCAGCTGTGGCACTCGAGCGGGCATCCGACAGATGACCTTTCGGAGCCAAAACGTCACAGACACGTAGGAAACCGGCAATGTCCAGTGTCAGAATGAATAATACCGATACAATATGCAACTAGACGGCAAATTATCACCCTCCCCCCCCCAAAAAAGGGCATGGGTAACCCTGGCTAACGAAGGTCAAAGACCTAATGACTATGACAACCTGAGGCTGCCATTTGAGTGTGGATATGAACATTGTTGTTTAAAAACGTTTATCAGATAAAGACACAAACACCCCAAAACGCATTAGTAGCGAATGTCACACTAAAAAAAACAGGCCTTGGTCCGATATAGTCTATCTAAAAGTTATTTAAGCACTTGAACAAAACTGCTTGGACTTAAGCAGGGATATGTTACAAATTGATGTGACATGACGTACGTACGGAAGCCATCAGAAGAATAGTTCACCCTCTTATGTACCTTTTCAGAAAGGATAGGAAGAAGTGCGGATGACTGTTACATCCCTCAATGTAAGTGGCAAACGCGCTTAGGCATTTTATTGCTGAAATTAATGTTTCACATCCCACCATACGGCATTATCTGAGTTCTAAAGCTGCCTGTCATGTAGTTGCGTACTACCGATGTTCCTTTGTTTGGCGGAGCCCCAATCCAATTTTCTGACGATCCCCGAACGTACCCGCTCACATAAAGCATCGATGCGATCACAGCTGATAAGGATATATGTGCTAGGAAATCTACCGCTATAAACAATGCACATACGCAAATTGCCTGTTGTAAATGAGTAACAGTATTGCGGGCGTGTACAGCTTGTTAGTTTTGGTGCTTTCCACCGATTCTGCGAAAATGGCCCGGCACAGACCTGACACAAGCAAAGAACGCTTGCATTTCACCGGAAATCCGGCCACACCACAAAGAAGGCTGTTAAGCCCCACAGAAACCAAACGACCCATTTTCAACGGAATCCGTTAGCAGTCCTCATTTCCAGCCACAACTGACCACTACTGATCCCGCTGGCGGCGCGTTCGGCTATTCTCCTCAGTTAATGACGCGTACAACACGTTTCTTCGAGCTCAGACGACGCTGCCAGGGACGGGAGCATTGCCCCGGGCCAGCATATCGCCGAGGGCTCGCTCGGTGGCGCCACATCGGTCTGTGACGCGACAGACGTGCAGACGGTAATTACGTACCCTGCTACTGACTCACCACCGGGTCACGCTGTCACGCGGAGACAACGCAGACGCAGCAGCGCGAGCGGATCAGTGACCCACGCGGCCCTCTCCGCTCACTGCCCGAAAGTCAGCACGAGACAGGGAGGGCGAGGAGCCGGGCTGGCTTGGTCCCGTGGCACAGCCCACAGTGCCGCCCCAGCTGCGCGCCGTTAGCCATGTGGCGTGACGTGGTAAACATACGAAAAACTCGTCGCTGCCCCTACCTTTCGCGTGTTTCCTTGCCTATGATAGACAGCGGGCTGCGCCAGCACAGAGCTGCAGTCGGCAGCGGCCGCAGCGCGGCGCAGCGAGACGAGGTCACTTCTCTGACCTCACGGCCATAACTTCAGCGGCTAAACCAACAGGCTGACGAGCGCCGGGCGCCGTGCAGGCGGCGCGAGAGGGCGGCCCCGCCTGGCCCGTGAGACGGACCGACAGCGGGTCACCCCCATCGGACCAGCAGCCGGCTGACCAGCCGCGCAGCTGGGTCGCAGCTGACAGCTGTATGAGGCCAACCGGCGGCCAACACAGGCCCGGTGCTGATCGACAACAGATGTGGACGTGGCGGCGGCGACGGCCCGGTGTGATCGATAGGCTGGGGACGGCTGTAGTGACACCCTGTCCCCACGGCACGCCACAGGGGTCAAGTGTGAGGTCACTAGCGGCCGTGAAGCGAGTTTGAGGGTCTCGTGAATGGATAGAACTTTCATAAATTGCCGCGGAACTGGCGTACGCCGGCACGGCTATCTGATTACCACACGCTTCATGTACCTTGACGATGGGCAGCCGCGGCCGGGTCTCCAACGAGAATCATCGGCCGTGGGTTGCGTGCAGTGCAGGGGTCGAGGGATATTAACAGACCGAGGAGCGGTGAGGGGAGGTGATCCACCTTATATAGTGCAACAACAGGGTGTTTATACCCGTTTTCAGGATGCAGGAGAATCGTCTCCACCCCTGCTCTCTGCATGCCCTCCATGGTAACCACCGTCTGCGGGCACTGTTCACTCCCGCTGCCGGTGCGTGGTAAGGGCGGGAACCGGCGCCAGGGAGTCCCGGGACGGCACCGGTCTCGGCTCGGCACGTCACGGCTGCGTTTCACGGGCGCGGATCAATAGCACCGCCGCCGCGGGAGAGGTCAGCTGAGGCTCCCAGCGCCGTTCCCGGTCGGCTGGCAGCATCAGGCCCGCTGGGGTGAGAGCATCGGACAACGCGCCTCGATGCCAGAGCCATTCGCCGCGCGCTTGCTACACATTGCTGTTCCGTCTATGGGTAAATGGGTATTGGTATTGTAGCGGCCTACCTAAGCACGTACTTGCAACCTCTCATCAGGATGTGGGGTGCTCACAACAGAGCAAACGAACGTAAGGGTTCCCCGACATCCCTTACAGGTGTCCCGGTGCTCCTCTTACCCCCCTCGAACAATTGTGTAAGTATTCCTGCTGTAGCTGCTAATGAGCGCCCCTGCCGGAGATGCAGCTACATCCACCACATCTCATGGTATTAGCGTCAGGGACACGGCGTTACATGGAACGAATGCACCCCAAAATCTCGTTTGCATGCGCAACAGTTCTGGCAGCGTTCCGCGTCTGCCTCACGGAGGGGCGGCAGCGGGCAGCCCTCACCTCACCTGAGTCTCGCTCTGCGCACCGGGCCCGCCTCGCCCCCCACCTCCGGTCTGTGACCGGGCCGCCGCGCCACTGACGCCGCGCGCCGCCGCTGACCCGACCGGCCCCGATCGCGGGGGCGGCGGCAGTCAGCAGCCACGCACGTGCAGCCCCCCACCCCCCGACGGGGTGCATCACTCGGCCAGCCAGCGGCCCTCTTGCAGGCGGTGCGGTCGGCTCACTTTGTACCGCGCGCCGCCGCGGGCCATCTAGCAGTATGAAGCAGGATGAAAAACGCCACCGGCTGCGTGCCGCTGGTACTTCCGTGCCGGACCCTCTCTGTGCGGTGCTGGCAGCGGCACGGACAAAAAGAGCTTCTGCTTAGGGCTGGGTCACGGACGGCACTAATGGCATTGTGTTTAGCGGCTTTGACCTGATTAAGATTGCCGCGTGTTTGGGGAATCAGTCTGCATTGGCTACCGTAAA